ATATTAGTTTGTCCCCTATAGAATAAAGTAAATTAGGATTTAAACATTTCGTAGAAACGCTGCACAGTAAAAACATAAACCCTTAATTTCGTTGTCAAGTTAGCGGTATAATTTATAATTGACAATAATTTATAATTCTCATTCTAATTTATAATTCTCTTCTAAAAATAATCTATATCGGTCCACTTTTTCAAATAGCCCCATATAACGGTACCATTCATTATTCAGTACTTTGAGGAGTTTGGACAGGTTTTTTTAACCAAATTGGCTATAATTATATACCTCGGTACCGCCATACACAAAACTAATAACATTAGCTTTGATATGCTTTGCCAACAAAAATCTGCGAGCAATTCAAGAACAAGGTCACCTGTGCCCAAACAAATGCTGCTATGGTCTGTTCCTGGAGCAGATGAGGCAGATCTTGGAGTGTTTTGAAGAAAATTCTTCGAATGATCTATGGGCCGATCTTCATCGGCCGTGAATATCGCAGCGATTACGGTGGCTAGGCCAAGTGTGAGAATGGATGAGGATGCCCTAACTCAAAAGGCAGATAAAAGCGAGCCAACAGAAGGTTCACGCAAAAGTTGAAGGCCACAAATCCAACTCAAAGATCAAGTGGAAGACAACATTTCGAAATGGGGAGAGCTGTGCACAAGGCCGACACACCTGGAAATCTTTTTTAAGCTAGGCTTTTAGAACAAATGTTCTGTCTATAACTTTAAATTCTCATTGGGCTGAAAATCTCAGTCTTTTTTCTGCCCTTTCACTATGAAATTCGAATTTATGAAAAAACATTTGTAAATACCCAGGCCTACGAATTCGTGAAAAATATTAATTCCGACATCCAAGTTTACTTCATGTACACCGAAGTAAACTCGGATTTATATCCTTCACCACACTGTGGTACAGGGTATTATGTCTGTGTGCATATGTTTGTAACCGGCAAAAGGAAATGAGATAGATACATGGTTCCTTTTGAGAATATGCATAGAAACACTTTCTGAGTTGATCAGGCCGTCCGTCTGTCCATGTATTCTTGTGAACAAAGTACAGATCGTATTTATGATCCGATTTAGATGAAATTTGGCACAGCTCACTTATTTGGCCCAAAGAAGAGCCCTATTGAAATTGGAGAAAATCGGTTCAGATTTAGACATAGCTCCCATATATACGTTCTTCCGATTTTATCTAAATCGTGCACAAAACATCCAATATTTGTCCGATTAGGACAAAATCTTGCGCACTGTACAAAGTTAGGTCCAGTCAGACTTATGCGAAGTGTGGTGGAAATCAGTACAGCTCCCATATATAGCTTCCTCCGATTTTATTTAAATTGTACGCCAAACTCCCAATATTTGTCCGTTTGAGACAAAATCTTGCGCAGTGTACAGAGTTAGGTCCAGATAGACGTATGAGAAGTTTTGTTGAAATCGGATCAAATTTAGATATAGCTCCTATATATATTCCGTTTGATTTTATGTAAATGGTGCACCGAAGATCCCATGTTTATTCAATTTACACGAAATTTTGCAGAGGTTTTAGAGTGATGTCTATTAAGTTTCAAATATCCTATTAGATTTAAATATATATCCCATATATATTTTTGTCTGATTTTGTGAAAATGGTATACTGAGGAAACTACGGTTGTTCGATATGTACGATATGAAATTGTAGATAGTTCTGCAGCACATCAAATGGTACATGTCACAGTTGCTCAATAAGATCCAAATTTACACATATAGATCCGCATACATTATTTTGCTCTATTTCATACAGGATATTATATACAGGATATTATATACATTAGCATCTCTTGAATGTATCCAAAGTGGTTATGGGTATCATATAATCGACCCCGTCCGACTTTTTAGCAAAATAAGACATATGAAGTCATAAAATATATTTCAAACTCGAGCAAAATGTTGTCCTTGGATTTTTTCATTGTGGTCTTGTAGAGCTCTACAATAATAATTTTAAAACCCGATCCTTAACTCTCTGTGCCCCGATTTTATATCCGTAATCATAGAACGATTTTCTTATATATTATGCAACTATCTTAAATGATATCCAAAGTGGAGGTGGGAAATACAGTGCATTCATTCTGAAAAATAAAAGTCTAATATCAAGGAAACCAAATGCAAAATCGACGGAAAAATCATTTTAAATTTATTTATTTATGGTTTCTCTTGGATTTTGTACATTAGCACGATAGTGAACGTGAATTATGTACACAAATTAGTACGGCACACATACTTTCCCTCTTCTTTATGTTGAAAAGCTCATAACTTTACTTTACCAAAAAATTGATTTTTTTTATATTTTTCATTTGATATGTGTCGTCCATAATCAGGTCTTGACATACGAAATCCAAAGAATATATACCCATGACTTATGATCTTGTACAGCTTCATAAAAATTATTTTTCCATGTCTTTAATTAAAAAAACCGTCTTAAAAGTCTTGTAGAGCTCCATAAAAATTATTTTAAAAATCCAAGCCTTAATGTATTCTAGAGCTCCATAAAAATTCATTTAAAAATCCATGCCTTAAATATCTTCTAGAGCTCCATAAAAATTCTTTTAAAAATCTACGCCTTAAATGTCTTCTAGAGCTCTTGTAGGGCTGCATAAAAATTATTTTTCCGTGTCTTTAATTAAAAAAAAATCCGCCTTAAAAGTCTTGTAGAGCTCCATAAAAATTCTTTTTCCATGTCTTTAATTAAAAAAATCCCGCCTTAAAAGCTCCATAAAAATTCTTTTAAAAATCTACGCCTCAAAGGTCTTCTAGAGTTCCATAAAAATTCTTTTAAAAATCTACGCCTCAAAGGTCTTCTAGAGTTCCATAAAAATTCTTTTAAAAATCTACGCCTTAAATGTCTTCTATAGCTCTATAAAAATTATTTTAAAATTTCAAGCTTAAAAGGTCTTCTAGAGCTCCATATATTTATACCCTTCACCAGCTCTTGTAGAGCTACATAAAAATCCCTTTAAAATCCGAGCCTTAAAATTTTGTAGAGCTCCATAAAAAATATTTTAAAATTTTATTATTTTATAAATTGTAAATTATAATTGCTAATGAGTTGTGGAACACACATATATTGTTTCTACATTCTAATATATTTTAATTTTAAAATGTATTTTAAAATAAAAAAGTTTGATGATTAAGCTAGATTCAGATTATTATTTTTTTATTTGTAAAATATGTATAATTAGTTACATGACAACCACGGCATTAAGAATATTCAAAATATGCCTAAAAATCGATTCACAGCCACCACTAAAAAGTGAAAATTGTATTTATGTTATGTTTGTTATATTTTTTTATTCGATAACAAGTCTTTATTTTTATGAAAAAAAAAACGTTTTTTCTTTTACATATTTCCATTTTATTCCCGCTAAACACGTTTCCCGCCTGATCCCCCCTCCGCTTACCAACAAACCAAAAAATAAAATTCACTTTTAAGCCATGACTATTAAAAAACAGTCAAAGAATTCCAATCAGTATACAAAATACGCATGTGTGCTAGTATTGGTGAGTGACAGTGTGAATTTCAGATACTAAAAGAAAGGTGATAAAGAAAGCATTTCTCTTGCTTTGCTCTCTTCTCTGCCAAACAAACAAACGAACGAACAAAAACAAAACAGAAACAAACTTGTAAAGACCGCATTGTTGAGTAAAGCTTTAACGGAAGAAAAAGAAGTTTGAGCATATGAACGCACACTAACAAACACACACACTCACATACTCATTCTAGCCAATATGCTTATAAGCCATGTACGTTGAACAACGTTGTTGTGAGCAAGCGCACAGCTTAACTTCTTGTTGAGCCGGCCTCTGTGCTGTGCGCAGACGTTATGCATGAATGTTGTTGGTGGTTCAATGTTTGGGAAGGTTGTCTAGCAGACTTTCTTGTCAGCGTCGTCGTCGATGCTTTTCTATATTGACTCTCTGCATCTGTTGCTGTTCATGTATGTGTGTGTGTGCGATCGTGTCTTTAAGCGAAAGCCTTCACTTTGCTCTAATGATATTGAAAGAAGAAACATTATGAAATTGAAATGTAATGTGAATGGAATGATGGTGTGTGTGTCAATTTCTGTGTCTGTATGCAAGTTTCAAGCTTGTGGTAACTGAAAGTGTTCATCCAAGTTTAAACGTTGTCTTCTTGTTGAGGATAAGCATGGCTTTCATTGCGGCACGCAGAACAGACGTATCACGAGTGTCGAACTAAACGTTACGTTAGCATTTTTGCCGTTCTACTCCGCTCCGTCAAAGAAGAAGAAGAAAATTTTTTATTGGAAAAAAAAACGCAGGCTAAAATACAAAAATAAAAACATCAAGAATCTTTAAAAAGTGAAAGAATTTTTGTAAAAGAAAACAAAAATAAAGAAAGTGAATTCTTTTCACATGAAGACAAAATAAAGTTCTGAACCCAAAATAAAATAAATAAATATTTCAAACCAATCAAAGGAATATTGAAAATAAATTTAAACATGAATTGTTATAAAAAGCTACAAAAATGTGGCCCCCAATATTAGTGTTGGAAACTTTAGAAAACTAAAACAAAAACAAACCATTAAGAAAACGTAAAAAATAATAATAATTAAAAGGAAGAAGTATAAGCAACGTGAAAAGAAAACAAACACACACACATACATACACCAGTCCAGAAAAAAACCAATCAATATTTTCTCCATGGATATCAGTGAATGAAAAAAAGTGAAAGTGAAAGTGATTTTATAATCAAGCCACAAAAACAACAACAACAACTACAACAAGATCATTCAGAAAGCTTAAGAATTAACTTTTTGTAATACAAAAAAAGAAGAAGAAAAAACTTGGATTATTAAAAAAGGATTAACTTTTTCACAACAAACCACCCCCAGCAAATTGAACTCCTGTGCTCTTGGTTGGATTACACACATTTCTTTTCCGTCCTCCACCAGTCATCACCACCAGCGAACAATTTTTTATTTGATTTTTCCCTAAATTCTTTTCGCCTGCTGCTACTTAAAAAAACTTCTCTGTAGAAGTTTTTTTAAATCATCAAAAATCTATCAACATTTTGCCGTTAAACATGGATACTAAATTCTCACCATCACCGATGGATATGGCTGCTGTCAATGATATCATGGCACCCAGTAGCGTCAATGCAGCAAATTGCCAGTATTCGACACGTTATTGCTGTAAGTTTGGAAATTTGTTATTTTTTATTTGATATATTTTTTATTTTAATAAAAAAAAACATAGCATACTGAGGGGCGAAATTCCTAGTAAGGTAAAGGCCAATTCTGAGACATTGTAGTGTACATTTGAAAACATCAGAATGTGCAAGAACAATTTTTTCAATGTTAGGCATTTTCCAATACCAAACGTTCTGATGTCGTAAAACGAATTTCAATTTAAAGTTCTGAAAAAAACTGAATTTACAGAAAAGTATTGGTATTCTCTTAAAGAGCATCAGAACCTTATAAAGGGGTTTAATGGATAAACGATCAAGTCGAATTCTAAAAACAATATCTCTTTTTTTAGACTGAACACCAAGATCACATTCCCATATTTTTTATATCCTGAAAATTTTATAATTTTAAATTTTATTCTAAATATATATATTTTTTTGTTACTTCTAAATATTCACGGAAATCATTTTTCTAACTGTAGTAATTATCAATTGGTTCAAAACTCTATAAAAATATCCAGAATTGTTTTTTTTCTAAAAAAAATGGACTGAAACTTCTCCAAAATATTTCACAACGACGAAAAATGGTTGGCCGAAATATTACATATGGCATTCTGAGAACCCTTACATAAATTTTGAATTATATTTGACAAAATATTTTATATTTAACAAAATAATATAATCTCCTGCTTCAAAAAGTATTTTATTCAATGAATTAAATTAATAGACTTATTATTATTTTAGGATAGATTATTATCTTAACAATAATAATCTATAACGACTTTTAATAGGAGCCTTTCCAAACATTTGATGTTTAAATACTTAAAATGTTTCTAGAAGTCTCTCGCTTTCTAGAACCAAACATGTAGACCACGTAATAGGTTCTCTAGAGACCTTTGGAGAAAATTTAATTACTCTTAACATCAATTAATAATTAATTATCAATTACTAGGATCTTATCCGAAAATCTGAAGAAAAGTCTCTGGAATTTTCCTGGAGAGCCAATTTTATACCACTTCGAACGTTTTCATAGATGAATTCTATTAAAAAATTATTTTAACTAATTTTTAGAATACCCTCCATAGGCCTAACCTAATTGAAGGAATATATTTTTTTACCAAACTCGAATTCAAAAATATTCCAGATTTTTGTTAATTTCCTGACTTAGAAAAAGTTCAAACATTTAGGATTCTTCAGGAAATTTCTATAGACAAATTTTGATTGCTTCCCTTGGGTAATTAAAAAAAAATAATTTTTATGGAACCGGGACCTATAAAATTTCTAGGAGGAATCTCTTTGGCAATTTAATCAAGATCCAAGTTTAGAGAACTATGACCTTTAAAATATCCTGCCTTACTTATTTTATATTAATTTTCTTTAGTGGCCACAAAATCATTATCCTGGCAAAACATGCACTTAAGTTTGAGAAAATTTGACGGATATTATAAGCAAGATCAAAAATTTCTATAAGGTGGTCTCCTAAGACTGACTGATATTCAAAAATAAAAATTTATCGATATGGACATACATTTCATTAGAGGTTTCTCTAAGGATGGGAGAGCCAAATGGCAAAAAACCGTACCTGAATTTTCTGTTTAGAAAGGATTTGGCTTATCTTCAAAATATATTTTTTTTATTTCAGTTTCTCCTATATATATATATATATATATATATTTAATTCTTATGAAATCGTTCAAAACTATGCATGAATGAAAATTTTGGTTGTAATTTTTTTATTATTATTTTTTTTGTTTTGTTTTTTTTTTTTGTCTTCTGACTCACCACTCATGGTATTTGTTAGCTTAAAAAATTTCAAGTTACAGAATTTCGTGGAAAATTAGCTAAACCAATTGTTGTTGTTTAGTGGCTGAGCTTATTTTGTCAATACACAACGAAAATCTGGTAATTCAAAGAAGAAATAGAAAATCCACTAGAAGAGGTGTCCAACAAAATACAACATGCTCAATTAAAAAATATTATAACGACCTCCCATTTTCCTGAAAAATCTCGAATATACGGTGATTTGTTCCTTCCCAAAAGAACCTGTTCGATCTATCGATTTTTGTACGAAATTTTTGTTCAAAAGCATCTATGGAATGCATAAACGGCAGATTGATGTAGCAAATTAAATTCACTCAAGTTTATCCAAATTTGTCGTTGTTGTTGTCGCTCTTGCTGACCCAACCAAGTACAATGACAAGCCCAACGCAAGACCAACAAAATTTCGTATTTAAAAAACTAAACAGCCTAACATTGCAACAACAATAAACATTGAATAAACTAAAACGTTTATCGTTCGGAAAATCCAAAAACCAAAAAATAGCTGCAGTGCAACTACCAATAAGCAAGGCTTTTACGAGGATTGTGTGGCAAGTAAAGGAAGTTAATCTCATGCAGAAGAACAGACACACATAACTAACAGGATCGGGATAATTGAAATATGACAATCGATTAACAGAAGGATTTGCTTATATGACGAGACGTAAAAATTTTACCGAATTTTGACCAAAAATTGGTTAAATTATTTCCAATACTTCCCTCATATCTCTGTGCTAAACTTCATTCAGCCTTTTCTCTCCCAAAATGAAAAGCAGAGAGAGAGAGAGAAATCCCATGCATTAAGCTCTTCATACTGACGAAAAAGCCACTGCAATACGAAAACATTTTCAGTAGTATTGTTGCACATGTTGTTGTAGATGATGTTGCCGTTGTTGTTGATGTTGTCGCCTCATCGAACAAGTGCTGAATGCTGCCGCCATCGTACGAAAAGAAATTTTGTAGCTGTTGCAGGTACTCGGTAGTCCGTTGTTTGACTTGACTTCTGTTTGCTTGCAACAAGATGGCAAATATATGTATGAAATGTAAATTGTTGTTGTTAATTTCTTATTATTGTTGTGGCAAACAAGTTGTTGTTGTTTTTTATTTATTTAGTTTTTTCTACAATGGAAAGTTTCTTTCCTTCTTTTTTTCTGTCATTCGAAATTATCGTTTTCTGATAATAATACAATAACTCAGGCCTATTGAACTTGACAATAAGCTGGAGGTCAGATGTAAATAACTTAAAATAGAATCGAGTTGCACTTGAATCGGAATTGAGACAAGTTCCCATGACCCTATATGGAAGAGTGTAAACCGATTCTACTTTTTCTAATTATAATTTATCTCGTTCTAATCGAAAGTTTAAGAAATGAATATTCTGTCAGACAGTAGATGTTCCAGGTGTCTTAAATAGTTTTCTATATAGATTTTCTGAGGTTCTTCGTAAGTGCGCCTTAAGATTTTCTCCATGGTTTTTTATTTAAACACCTTCTATTTATTAAAGTCATCCCAAAGATTCTTTTCAGAACCGCAAGAAGCCTTTAATCTACAGGAGCATCTCGAGAGATCCTTAGCCTGTAAAAAAACTTAGGCGGTTTTCTATTTATTAAAGTCATCTTAAAGATTATTTTCAGATCCGCAAGAAACCTTTCATCTACAGGAGCGTCTCGAGAGATCCTTAGCATGTAAAAAACCTAAGCGGTTTTCTACCATCCTCTGTATACAGAAGAATCTCAAGAGGTATTCTACATATAGAATATCCTCTAGATATCATCTACATATAAATGTACCTCAAGAGGTCTTCTACATATAAAATTGTTTCAAAAGGACTTCAAGTGGTCTTCTACATACTCACAGATGTGTCCCAAAAAATCTTCTTGTCAAACCTCAGAAAAGATCTCAATTTGTGCCTCCATTTCCATATTCAATCTTTAAACCCATTTTAAAATTCTGCAGCCTACCAAATAATTTCAAAATCTCCCATCTTATTTCGATTTCATTTTACTTTTCCAATTCCATAATTTATTCCCCCCTATCAAGCAATCTATAATTTATGCCAATAAAATTCTCTCTCATTGGTAAATTAGCATAAAAATTTGTTCTGCTGATCTTTATCACAGCACATCTTTTAAAAGATAATCTCTACACTTCAAATGCTCTACTTCCTGTACACAAACGGAGGCACACACACATTTGTGATTCTGGCATCTTATTTCATTAGCTTATTTTATTGGCCCACAATATAACAGAACTTTTATCTATCTTCATTCTCCCTGTTCATTCTGCTGTTGTCTTCTTTTGTGGGTCAATCAGTTCATGACACATTAAAGCAGCAACAACAACAAAAAATGGAAATGAAAGCAAAGGAAAGGAAAGAAAATTTATGCCACCGCATTTGCCCCCAAAAAGTAAACAAGACTTAGGAAAGCACAAGAAAGTGTGTGTGTTTGTGTGTGGGGGCAACAACAGGATGTCAACTGTTACAAGTCATCCGGGCACCCACATGACCAAAAACCAAGCGACAATAATTTACATATTTCTGACTTTTTTCGAGCAAACCAAAAACAGGCGAACTTTAATGAAATTCTCAGAAAAAAAACGAAAATTATTCTCTTCATAAAATAACAACAACAACATAAATAAAAAACACAAGAAAATACCACTCACTACGGAAAGAAGAAGAAGGGTTTCATTTAAAGCCTTAAGCAATTTATTACATATAGCTACGTTATAGAGACACATACCCTCTTACTAACACACACACAACGAAACTTAATAGTCATTCCTAATCTAGCCTGAAAATGTAATTTTTTTTTTTGCTCTGAGATAAAAACAGTAACTCTTCTATACTAGACTAGCATGGCTCAAACACCACTCTCAACATAATGAAGTTCGCCGGAGTAGCTTTGCTTTGCTCAGCTACACTGCTCTATGGCACTGACTTCGCTTCCCAACAACTTTCACCCATTAATATTCTTCGCATTGAACAATAACAACAACAAAAACTACATTTATACACAGAAAACTCTGCAGCTGCAGAAGTTACGATTTAGCCAGTCTGTCAGTCAGTCTATAGCAGAAAGTCATGAAGAACATGTAGGCATGAGAAAGAAAAAACGAAACACGGATAAAATGTTTTTTTTTATAGGCATCAGCTTGTGTTGCTGGAAAGCATGCTGCAGGAACAGA